GGGGGGGGCGGCGGCGGAAGAGGGGGAGGCAACTGCAGGAAGAACAAGCCAGAAAGCTCAGGGAGGAAGGTGGCGACCTGCCGGCTTTCTCTAATCCGGCCTCTGATAGAAAAGCAAGATAAGGCAGCAGCTGGAAAGTTCAGGGCCAGCGGGTGTGAGTAAAGCAAAATACACCAACTGCTTGGTCTCTGGGATGTCGGCTGTTTCCTGCTCTTGATCCATTTCCTGCAGGAGAATTTTCTTCGGGCAGGAGCGTGGGGCCTGGCTGTGGGCAGACTCCCCCGCGGGACAAGTCCTCCTGTAGGTGCCACACTCAGCAGCAACCACGCTGCTGGCTGGGGGGCAGATGCCTCCTCGTCTTGCTCCGTCCCCGTCGTTCTCCCCACCTCTGGTCTTCCTCTGGCTGCAATCATGGGCCTCTGGAGCCCTGCTGGTGCCGTGGAGGTGTGCGGAGTGTCCTCGGTGCTGAACCAGCACAGCCTCGTGGTGTTGGGCCCAGGGTCCCTTTTCGTTGAAAGTCCGTATGCTCCCTCAAGGCTAACGTTACTCAGCCCTTAGATGAGCCAGGCACTCTTTCAAGAGTCTTGCCCAAGGGCTCCTCATTCTCACGGACGGGAACCCTGAGGCTAAGGCACCTGCTCAGTCAGGTCCCAGAGCTGACCAACTGCAGGGCCTGGGGCTGACAGGCAGCTCCACCACACGCAGCAGGGCACCGGGAAGGGCAGGGGCTCTGGGCTCCTACTGACTGGGAGCTGAGCTCACACTGCCTGGCCAACCTGCCCCGTCTCCTAGGGGAGTTAAGGCAAATGCCCCTTGATGACCAGACACTAGACAAAGCTGGCACCTTCAGGAGCACCGAAGGGTGCTTTCTCCTCGCAGTCTGACCTTCAGAGCTGCAAATTTAGACAGAAAGTAATGTCAGAGGATTCATAGTTTCATGCATGTCTGAACCACGGGAAGCCTCGAGTAGAATAGCCCCAGGCACCTCTGCGATCCTTCAGAGCTGTGGTCGTCGGACGGTGCCAAGCCCCGGGTGGCAAGAGGACCACATCCCTTTGGGAAAGCCAGGCCTTACGGACGAGGACACAGGTTCAGGGCTGACGCCATGTGATGCTCAGAAGTAAGGCTGGACCTCAGGACTCCTCCCTCACTTCTGGGAGGCTGTTGGCTGAAGTGCTGAACTCTCCTGGCTCCCAGGGACGGCTTTATGACAGGCCCCCTGCAGGACCAGCTGCCGTTACAGCACTGGATGCTGCCTCTGAACAGGAGGAGTCCTTCGTCTGCGAGTCCCACAGGTGCGGGGCAGTGGCGCAAAGCTGCCGGGCTGCCGGGCTGTGTGCTCACCTGAGGCCACTCACACCTGCCCTGCTCCCTGCCTCTCAAGACACTCCTTGCTCGTGGTCTCTGTGCTTAACTTACATCCCATCCCAAACCAGACGTTCTTGTGTCTTCTTTACCTCTGTATTCTCTACAGGGCACAGTTAGTGACAGAGAAGATGCTTAATAACATTTGTTGTTTTCAAAAAGTTTTAAAGGGCAGTGCTCAGAAGCCTGCAGTGCTGCCGAGTAAACGCTGGGACACGGCGTTGGTGGTGGGACACCCCCGTCAGGCCACCGCACGCCATGCCTGGGCCCTCTCTCCCTCACGATCTTGCCTCCCTATTTGCTGTGTCTCTTTTCCCATGGTCCATTTTTGTATTTATTTTGGATTTAACCTTTAAATTTTTCCAGTGTGTCACAAGGGATCTCCCAAGGGGCATGTCTTGCCCCTGGGAAGTCTGTGTTGTGATTTTAAAACCTTTGTTTACATGCAGGTGACGTGTCCGAGTCCAGGGCCATAGAGCAGCCTGTGAAATCTGCTACTGCTCAGGCACAGGGGCCCCTGGAGCACCAACAGGCACCAGCACCTGCTCTCGCAGCCCCTTACCTGCCACAGGTCTGGCCCAAGAGCATGCCCCTGGTCAAGGGTACATGGCATTGTTCTGGAATGTGGTGAGGACTGTGCTTTATTGACTTTCATGCTGCCCCATCAGCAACAAGACTAAGAACGAAATTGAACCCAGATGACAGGCTGAGATGTGTGACCACAAAGTGACAGGAGCAGCTGGACGTCCTCTGCAGAGTATCATGTTCCTGAACACCATGAATGAAGCCTCCCTCGCCTGTTCAATGACTCACAAAATATAGCTAATAAATTTCAAATACCAATGACCTTGAAAGTAAACAGGATGATCACGTCTAAAAATATTAATGATCTTCTCAGAAGTCAAATGTTTGCTGCACCAAGTAGTTTTTCATCTCAATAAAAATAAAGCAATACTGAGGCCTACAATCCTACCACCACATCCAATGATTCTTTAAGAACAGGATTTGATGTCAATTTAGAGATGGAGACACCAGACCATGAACTGAAGGTGCGCAGAACTAGATGTGTGATGCAACTCCTTTTCCATGACAACTCCCGTCTCCTGGGTCCTCCTCCTTCTGGACCAGGGTGGATAACCGGAAAACACACTGCTTGCTTCAAATAGGCTTCCACCAGCGACACACAGCATCCTGCTGAAGCCAGGTCTCCCGGTAGATGTGACCCCTGATGCTAGAACGAGATCTTCCAATACACAGCTCTTGGGGGTTTGGAGCCCGAGAAGATGGAAGCGGTGGCAGTGAGGCCCCAAATCTGGCTGCCTCACCCCCAGAGGCTCCGAGTCCTCCTCCCACAGAATGCACACTTAGAGTCATTGGACCCACTTCTCCCACAATCTCAGCCAGAGGTAACATCTTAGCTCCAAAATCCCATCATCATGAAAACAAAACGCTGCAGTCTACTTGAGATTGTTTTTGGTCTGATTAAAATTTTTATTGAATTTTCTCAAATGTTACCAAGAAATAGTTTTGTAAGGGGTGGGGTGGGGGGTGGGGGGGACTGCTAACAAGCGAATTCAGCCTGGGAGCTCCCTCTGCTGGTCTGCAGTAGGCTGATACGTTACAAACACATTCCCAGAGACAAATCTAATTTGCTGGAGAAGTGGACAAAAGACAGGTGTGTTGGGCTTTGCCTCAGGACAGAAACACTAGAAGAAAAAAAAAATCCATGTCTCAAAACAGAGCACAACATTGCTGAGAAAAGCAAAATAATTTAAAAGCTTCTCCAAAGACATGTAATAAGACCTCCAAAACAAAACGGAATTAGCAACTAAGGGGATGCTCCGTGTTGGTCTCTACCTCCAGGTAATAACAACTCTCTTAGGCCCTTTGGTGAAGCTTAAGTTCTGATTCCCTTGACTTTGCCTCCAAGTCTCTTCGTATAGGCTTCTTATCTACTTAGAAGAGAGAGATCCAAGGAGTCACTGGAGTGAGGCTTTTTCAAAATTCCATCAGTGAGTGAGTCTGGTGAGCCAGCACGGTGGCATGGAAAGAGCCAGGCCGGGAGTCAGGTGACCTGGCTCTCGTCATGGCAGAGCCACTCGTGATTTGGGGTAACTCTCTCCTCTTCTCCGGTCTGTTTCCTCATCTGTAAAATGGTCAGACCAGGTGATCTGTAAAGCCTCTGCCATTTTGTTCTATGATGCTCGTATTGGACAAAGACATTTAAATGACCGTATCTGTCCATGAGTCTTTAGGATACAGAACCCACGCTCGCACTGGGAATGACTCGGAACAAGAAGTGGGCTGAGCACAAGGACCTCTCTGGTACCAGATGAGAGTTCCACCACCTCTAGGGCCGATGTGGCAGAGCCAAGGGGAGTCCAGGTTGGGAGGGTCTCCAGATCAAGGAAGAACTCACAGGGAAGGTGCCGCCCTGGGCAATATATCCCATGAAGTCAAAGGGTTGAGTCCATCTAATTTTGGCGCTTCCTCTCCCATCCTTTCTCACAATGGCCTGGGCTTTCTAATCTCTTATGGCTCTTGAGCGCCTTTCCTCACCATATCTCCAGGTACTATTTTTCATTTCATCTGTTATATGAATGAAGGAAGGGCAAATTACCCAGATGCCTTGGCCGAAAGCCACTATTCTCAGTCCTTTCTGGCCACTGTCAATCCCTGCTTGTCCAGAGCAATGGTGAAAAGCTTTGGTGCTTATTAACCAAAGCCATGGATATTCAGATGAGCACGTGAACTTGGCACTATTTTATGGTATTTATTAACACTTGCCTCAATTGTAAACTGATCCATATTCTAGGCAATCTAGCAAGAGGAAGAGGAGAGGAGACACATTCGCAGATGGTAGGGTGGGGTGCATGGGCCCAAACAGAGGGGGCACTTTCCCCGTCATCTACAAGTGATCTCCAAGCCCACTCTGAGCAGGATGATGACTCAGCAGAAGATACCCACAGGCTTGTGTTCTACCCCTCCTTCCTCTACCTGCCATCTCCAGGTGACCAAGCACAGACATGGACAAAAGGTGGAAAAAGCAGCGGAAAGCACAGCTAATCTAGAAAAGGGGAATTAGTCTCAGAATAATCTTGTTACTTTATTTTCCGGACCAAGTGCCACCTGCGTTTTTCTTCACTACTTTCTGCCTCCTCCTGCCAGCACAGAGAGTAGCCACTGCCTAGGCTCCCAGGCTGTCTCTCAGCTCGCCTGCACGAGGCCTGGGAAGCCGGTTGTCAGCGCACGCAGGAAGCATTTAGAGCTTAGCGAAAGAATGGAAGGACAGTCAGCCGACAGCACGCCTGGCCCCACGCCCTGTGGGAACCTTCGCTGGGACTGTTGTAGGGTCTTACACAATACGGTGAGTTCTGTACAACACAGAAGGCTTCAGTCTGAAGGAAGAGTACTCTGGGAAGCTGTTTATTTCATCCAGCCTTGGAAATAAACACTAAGCAAAACAGACAAACAAAAACCCCACCTGTCCAAGCCAACACGTCTTAAAAAACCAGGCTTTCCTGCTTTTAGAGGAGTTACACACGCAGTAGACAAGTGAAACCTTGACTCTCCTATCTTTCTTGCTACTGATCATCACCATGAATCGTAATACTGATTATTGCTTGCACTAAAAGCAAAGCTTTTCTTTCCAAGGGGAGAGAAAGGGTTGGTAGGTAGACAGTAATCTTTGTGAAGAAACAAGGGAATTTATAAATCTCAGGCTATTCTTAACTTTAAAAAAAAAAAGCTGGTCAGAATAAAGGCCTCTACTTTGACCTGCAATTACATTCTAGACACTATTTTGTACCTTCTTTTCTTCAGGATTTCCTGATAATGGGAAAAAGAAACCCTTAATTTCTTCTGTAACATATTCCTGGAAGCTCCCAACTTCCCCTTTGGTCCCTAGCTGTCAGAGAACACGAGAGAAAAATCTCCCAGAATGCATAAACACACGCAGACACGTAACTCCTATGATAAGCGCACACCTCCCCTACGGCCCTTCCACACGACAAGGCACACACACACCTATGCTCTAGTGACACCTCTAGCTGGCTGGAAGCTGGGGAGGTCACCTGGGCCCAGTCCCTCGTGGGTGACATGAGGGTGAGATCATTAAGGAAGAGAGAGGTGTTGTTTGGGCAAACATCAGGCAGTGGGTGATATCATTGCTGTCAGATGGTCCTCGTAAGTCCTGGAGGAGTGTCAGCTTGATTTAGAGGGGATCAGTAGTCTCTCGAAGGTGGATCTGTTAGCTGGTAGGTGTTAGTTGTATGGTGTGCTCTGGGAACCAGGTTTGAAAGGACTGGTGGAGGAGTGAGTGAAGTCGTGGCCGATGGGTATAAATTACCTGGGCATGCAGTGAAGCGGGATAGGTGAAAGCAGGAGGAGGTAGAGCAGGCGCTAACTCCGCTGGGTACAGAGGGTACGGGGCCCACACTTCAGGGCTACTGGGGTAAAGTGCAGGCACTGTGAGCTCATCTGCAAGAAAAGAATAAGGGGAGAGTTAGTGGTTACCAAACAGCCGGTTTCAAATCAGAACAAAACACCCAGTAACCCAGAGCCCCAATCCATGTCAGAAGTCAAATGACTCTCATTCTTTTAATAACCTGCTGGCTTTGGCCTGCGAACTCTAAGCCAGGGAACGGGAAACACAATGAGAGAAAGCAAATCGCATCGGCTGCGGGTGCCTGCTGAGAGGCCGGCAGGCTCTGCCTGGGGCACTCTGATGTCTTTCCAACCAGAGCTGGGGGACCCGGAGCCGTGGGGATTTCCTGTATAAACAGTGCATGTGGTCCTCTCAGGGAAGGAGGAAGAAAAAGAACCAGTAGGAGATATCTCTTGAAAACCACTGAGAGCCTTTGGGAGAACAACGGCTTCCTGGCACGACCCCAAAAGCCTGGAAGAACTGAAGGACTTGTCTGCTTATCAGTATAATTAATAGACAAATGAATTACGTTCATCAAGCATTTCACATTTGGCGCTTAGAAGCGCAGGACCAGATGTTGTACCTACACAGCGTACAAGTTGTTAAAAATTCAGAAAATGGAAGTGGAAAGCCTCGAGTATTTTGATTAAAGCTAAGCTCCACAAAGATGCAAATATGAACATTCACAAATGCTGTTTACACCAACTATATTTATTTTCTAGGGAAAAAAAGTGAATCAAGCTGCAACTGACTGGTCTAAACGATCCTCATGCAGCTCTGATTCCACTAGGGTCAAGCTGCAGTTTTCCAGACTGAAGGGCAAGTGCCTGGGCCTCAGAATGCACTGGGCAGCAATCCATTAAAGTAACAGCAAACACCCGGGCAAAGGCAGAAGGAACATCAGTCAATAGTTATGAATCTGGACCCTGTGAAGCAGCAACCTCAACATGCGCTTTTACCACCTGTCAAATCTGAACTCAAGTAGGTCAAGGATGCTGCCCAGACCTGCTCAGGGACTCAGGGAAAGGTGGCTGATAAAGCCATCAGTGACCCATCGTTCAGGACTTTCCAGGCCTACAGTGCATGTGATCCAAGGAGAAGAGTCCCACCATCTCAGAGACCACCCAGCCTGCTCATCCCAGGTCTCCCTCATCCTCGTCATCCCCCAAACTCTGGCTCTGAGCAGGCTTTTCAGTCTGGGAAGGGGCTAGCAACAAAACTGCTTGCTGAGTGTGAGTGAGGTGGGAACTGCTCTATGGAGCCACCAGAAAGCAGCTGAGTGTGTGGGTGCACGTGCACCTGGTGGGTGGGGGGTGGGCAAGGCTTTCCACAGCCAGCCACATGGCAAGGGCTTCTGCCAGGATGATGGAGCCCAGAGCTGATTGATGACTGTCCATTCAGAGGGCAGCTTGGGGATCCCAACACTCTGTGCTCTATAAGGGGGCCGGCCGGCTGGCTTCCCCACTTCCTCTACCTGATGCCCTCCTCAGGCTTGGTGATGGGAACACAATTGCCTGTGTCCAGGCTGGAGAGCCTAGGCCCAGAGAGTGGATTGATTGTTATTACTGAGGGAGGCAAACTAGCGTCACAGCCGCTTTAAAATGATCAGGTGGATACCACCAGTCCTAGGGTGTAGGTGTGTATAGTTCCTGTAAGGAAATTCCTCAAAAGAGGCGGTTTGAGGGAATGCTACCAGACCTCATTTCCTGTTGCGAGGAGACCATCTGATTTCCATTGGAGCCGCTCCTGTGGGAGTCCCGCTCGTGGAAGCTCAGTGCTGCTAGAACCAATGCCTGAACTGGAACAACCATTCTCAGGAACAACGTGCTATTATTGTTGGTACTTCAGCTACCATGCTATTTTAAGATATTTGGAGTCTTTCTGAAAAGTCAAGAGAGTCTCAAGCCCTGCACACTCAGTTTCTCAGCCATGCTCTCAGCCCCGCTGGGACAGCAGGAGTGACCACCACCAAAGGGGCTGTGCTGGGCCGGGACCAGCCCAATGCGGGTTTTTGCCTGATCAATGGGTGCTTCCTTTAGAGGGTTTTAAAACAAATGTCTTTTAAGACATCTGATCCTAAAGAGAGAACTAACGGAGATGAGGGGAGTCAGCGTTTCAGGCTCAGCCTGACTGATGGAGTTGATGATTGCCGGACACTGGCATTTTCATCCTAAAGCATCACCACCCACTGGGTTTCTACTGATGCTCAGAGACGATTCACTGAATAACATTTGCACAAAACCTAGCCCAGCAGAATGGGGATTTGGAGGCAAACCCAAAGCTGCTGAGTAATGGGATAGTCAGGTAGTGAAGCAGAGGCCTAAGAGATTAGGGTGAACTCACATATGGTAAATCTTTTGATATATCCTGCCATGTCTCCCTTCTCTTGTGAAGGAAGCACAAGGAGTGACTGTAAATGTCCAGAGACAAGTAGCACACAGGGGGGTGGTCAGGAGGAGGATGTGCTCAAAATGAGTCAATGGAGATGTATGAGCTGAGCTGGTGACCACTGGGAGAGGAGAGGAGTGAGGATAATTCCTAACAAGTTTTCAAGAATCTGAGTCTTACTCAAGTCTGCACCCCAGGGCCAGCTCTGAGACTGGCATGTAGTGTGTAATACTGCTTGTTTATTGAATAGTATCCAGTGGAAAATCATAAAAAGTTGTTTAAAGATATACCACTGCTTTCTTTGTTAAAGGAACTTCAAAAATATCCATAGGAACTAGATCACTATATCTAAAACTTCCCAATCCTTGCAGTCTCTCTCTCTCTCTCTCTCTCTCTCTCTCACACACACACACACACACACAAGAGCAAAACGAGGCTCAACTCAGAGCAACAGAGCAAAGCAGTAATTTTCAAAGTTAAAAATAAAAGCCACAGAAACTTTTTCTCGAACTAATTTTCCCAGAACCCCTTTTAAATAAAAGTACTTGGTAGTGGAGGGAGACTGAAGGACCTCAACCCCTGTGACAGTCCCCGAGGTAGCAGGTTCCAGAGAACACCCTCTGAAAGCTGCTCTGACAGCAGCTCTCACCCAGGGACGAGTTTTTAAAGTAAGCTCCTCTTCAAAAACCTTTGAGGTCTGCGCTCATTCCTGCCGCCCCTGGGACCCTGTCTGGGAGGGAGGGGCATAAGCAGCCAGCGCAGGGGAAAGACATAAAGGAGGATGAAACAACTGGGATTGGAACAAACAGGTCTCCTGCCTGACATGGACTCAGAGCCCGAAGGCCCTCGCAGCCCATGGAGACCTCGAGTGAGCTTTTATGGCCTCACAAAGTTCAGAAAAATCTGACCCAGGAAATAAATATAACAGGTAAAATAACATAAAAAGGTTGGAGCTATTTCCTTCCTCCTCCACACTCCCAAGCCCTAACCATACCGTCCTGCCTGCACTCCAGCACCACAATGCACTTGACAGTGGTCGGGGACCAGCAGCAGCCCCGGGAGCCTGGTAGAAATGACACTCCTGGTTCCACCCAGACCCACTGAATCAGAAAGTCTGCTCTTCAAGGGATTCTGAATAATACTTTAGCTTGGGAAGCCATCACTGTAAGTTATTTATCTGACTTTTCTTATTGTATTATTAGCTGCTTGAGCAAACTGTTATACATTTGCTTTCAAAAAGCTTAGTTTAGTACCTGTTGAATGAATGAATAGAACACTGCAGGAGAGAAAATGCAAAGGAAAGCAATAATCCTGGACTTGTTTTGTGAGAGAAGCTAGCTGGAGGGTTAGAACAGACCCAGCCGTACACCCTTTGCTTGGCTCAGAGCCACTGTGACAGAGCAACAGAGGACACTGGGACAGCCCGACAAGGTCTGGATTGCACCTCCAGGAAGCAGCCCTCATGGACACCTACATTTCAGTATGAGGCTGAGGACTCTGAAAACCTATTCCTCCCCTTTGATGAAAGAGGGCAGTAGCTGAATGAGCTTTCTGCACGTGTACATTCTTTCTGGTTGCTAATGTGGTCTTGAGAAAATTCTCATGTCTGGAGAAAGGTTTTCCACAGCAGGAGCCCGTCATGTGGGTACCCAACTGAAGGAGTAGCAGCAGCAGGGAGCAACCTGGATCGGGGGGTTTCACCTTCCTTACTCACTGCCCATCCTGCTCAAACTTTATATAATGGGGAGGCTGCCCTGGCTCAATTTGGTTGAAGTGTTGTCCCATACACCAAAACATTGCAGGTTTGATTCCTGGTCCAGGCACATATTCAGGTTGTGGGTTAGGTCCTGGGTCAGGGCCCACACAAGAGGCAATGATGTTTCTCTGTCACGTCAATGTCCTGTCCCTCCCCTCCCTTCCCTCCTTCTTAAAAAAAAAAAAAAAAGGAATGGGAAGGCTAAAAAAAGAAGAGAAGGTTTGCTTCCCTGGCCCCACTGTGATGAAATGGGGTTCAGGGAGGGGATAAGATTGAGAGGAATGTTGACTACCCTACTACAAGGAGAGCCGGGCCCCAGGGAGCCAAAAGAGATCAGCAAGCCAGGGCTTTCCCCTTGCACCAGATCCAGCTATATTCTTTCTCCTTGTGCACCTGAGGATAATGTTACTGAGGGCTCACAATATACAACGAATAGGCTTTTCTCTTAGCATAAACATATGCAACCAAAGGAGCTCACACTGGATTCAGACAAACAAGAACTAAAACTTCCCCACCCCCAATCCTTTTGAAAGAAAGAAGTGCAGTCTTGAGGAAGGTTTAAACCTAGGAGCTCATGAAGGTCATCTAGTTTGCCTTTTACTTTAGATGAGGAAACAAAAGTGCAAAAGGTGAAACACCAGTTGAAGATCACACTGAAACAGATAAAGATGAAGGACTCTCAGAAACAGTGGGAAAAGTCCACTCTTAGTGGACTTCATCTGAGTGTAGTTGAGAACACAAGGTCCAAGAACTTCAAATCAATCCTGTATTTCCTCTGCTCATTGGATACTTCTACTTGGAAATATTGCACAGCAATCTCATGGTCAACATGTCTGAAACTAAACACACTCCCTCCAGTGGCCTGTCCTCCTTGGTTCCAGATTTCAGCCAAAGACGCCACTCAATTGC